CCCTTAAGAAGGGAACAAAAAGCGAAATTTCACAGCATAGAGGAGTCTGTGAACAACACTCGATGTTCACAGAGAATACTGAAGACCCCTCACTATTCCTGAATGTTACATTTATGTTTTTAACCCAATGCAGCTTTTCCTCTGACAGAATAAAAGACTGAATTAAGCCACTCCAACCTCACATTATTAAAAGTGACATTTAGAACATTCCACATTAGCTTTTTTAAACAGTTAAGAAATGAACCATCACTGTGTTCTTGGTTTATTCTTTTGCATTTGCTGAGAAATTATTTTCATTTATCTGCATAATGGCCAAGGCAAAGAAGCAATTTGCTAGATCTTTGCTTTAAGCCTTGCCAAACCCCAAGAGTCATCTTTTCACCAAGGAGCAGTGGGGCAGCTGCCATGCAGACCTGCAGCTGGTCTGTGGTTTGGTGCTGTGCAAGGCTGGGGTTTAATCCACCTCTGGCACCGAGCTGCTGCTTTTGAGCAGGACCTGTGTCCCATCCACTCACCTGCCTCTCAAGCACCATTTTCCTGTTACCACATTTTTACTGGAACTCTCTGTGGCAATTCTTAGTAAAGTGGCAAAAATCCAGTGACTCACCTGCAGTGCTGAAATGTCACTCGTCTGCTTCTTTAAGCTGGTGTTGGGACAGACAGACACACCACCTGGCATCACAAGGAACACAGGGAAAACAAGAGTCCTGACACACCAACCTTCCAGTGCTCTCTGGAGAAGGGTCCTTGCCCAGCCCCTGGCACAAAGGGCAGCAAACCAGCTCTTGGAAACTCCTGCCTGCTGACACAGGGCCCAGGAGCCCTATCACTGACATTTTCCCCTGAACAACACTGACATTTCCACTCACCTCTGCAGCAGCAGAGTCTAGGGCAGCAACAGCTCATTGTTTGCTTTCCACAGGGCCCAGCAATGTCAGGAATGTCACACACCCAGGTGTAAGGACAGCAGGAGCTGTGCCTGGACACAGCAGGGGAGAGCTTCCCTCAGGAATACAGGTACTCAGTCTTCCATCAGCCCCGAGGAGCTGAACCACTGCTGGGAGGGCATGAGCTGCCAGTGCTGAGGAGGGCAGAGGCCAAGGCCTCTGCCATTACACATCTGGCAGGGCTGGTGTGCACGCAGGGCTTTACTGCAGAGACAAACCACCATGGGGAAAAACTGGACATCCCCTTAAACAACTCCATCCTGAGGACCACTCCAGTGTTAGAGGATGAACATCAGTCCTGAGCAAACCTTCTTAACCCATCTCATGTCCCAAGCCTAGAGAAAGTCCCTGGGTCTGTGTGTGAGGTACTGCAGTTCCCCCTCACACCCAGCAGAGACTGAACACCTGGTCTGAAGGATGCTCCTGCCTGCTCACGAATACCACTGGCTGCCTGCTCAGGAATGTGGCCAACACTCACCTATTGTGCTTGGCATCTCCTTCAGCCTCGGAGCAAGGAGCAGCATTTCGGTGCGTGGGCAGGAGCAGCCCTTCACTAGAGACGGGAGCAGACACGTGCTTTTCCTGGGAGCAGGGGGGAGTGGGGGCTTGGTTATTTTTGCTTTGCCTTTTTAAAAAATTTTTTAAGTGAACAGAAGGCTGCTTGTACCTCCCTGCAGCTCACTACTGTAATGCTACAGCCAAATGCTTGGCAGCACTTCGGGGCAGGGATTCTGTACAATGCAGAACTGTGTGAGCAGAAAACACAAAAACCACCTCACAGCCGTCAGCTCAGCCCAGGCCTAGCTCGAGAAGATGCTAGAAAAAAAACCCTCACAAAGAGCCCCTGAGGCCAGACAGACTGAGCCTAAGAAAGGCAGAGCTGTTCCTCCCAGAGCAGGAGCACTCCCAGCACAGGGGCACCTCTGCCAGCCTGGGATGGGCCCAGCGGGCGCCTGGGTAAACACCCGCTGCACAAAGGCTTCACACAAGGTGCAGGAACGCGTCCCTCACTATATACTGCTGTCCTTCTTGCACATATTTTTGGGAAACAGGAAGCTCATTGATTTGTTTGCAGAGGTGGCCAAAACGGGCCTGGGGAAACAGCTGTCCTGGTTCAGCATTCCATGTTTTACACCACAGCCTTCCTGCTGTTCTAAGGGATGCAGATTTGACTCACTGTGTGCTGGACTGAGAGTCAGCAGAACAGTTTTGGAGCTGAGCTCTCCTTGTGACACTTTATTGCTGAAAAGGGAAGCTCTGACCTCTCTTGCTGACATTCAAAGACCACAATGTGAAGCAGCACGAACCAGGAAAACACGAGCCTGTGTGATTTCCGACCCGCTCGCTCTAACTCAGTGAGAGTTCAAGCCTGTGTTTGCTGCAGCAGGTCCAGCAGACAGGAAGCAGGATCTGTGCAGAGATCCTGCAGCTCCAAGGCAATCTCCAACAGCCAGATGACATTTCACTGAGCAGGGACACTCTGAACTGTTTTCTCCAGCATCAGAAGCAATGGCTTACCACAAATTAATGTTTCTGGACTGAGGGAATCCAAGGAAAAGCTAGACTAATACAAACCCAAAAACTTAACCAATACAGTTCCAGAACCCTGTCCATAGGTCACTTCATCTGTGAACCGTCTCCACTCCAAATTTGTCACAAAAGCTGTTTGCTGGATTAGAGACTGCAAGTCACCTCTGGTCATGTGTAAGGAGGAAGATCCTTCTACCCAACAAGCGTCCAACGGGCCTTAAATCACACTTGCTGACTGGGTGTGAGCACATGAGTCAGTTCAGATCAGGGATTCCCTCTCTGGATGGAGCCATTAGCCCAGACCCACCCTACGCACCCAGCACGGGCAGGCCCAGGCTGTGCTGCAGTTCCAGGTGACTTTGGAAAGTACCAGGGTAGGACCCAGAGCCATCCAAGTCACCAGCACTGCTTGTTCACATACCTGAAACCACTGACTCCCTCCACTCTGCAGCAAGTGACACAAAAAAGCTTTAACACATACAATGACAGCCACATCCTTGTGTGTTGCACATCTTCCAAGGTTTAATAGACACAAAGTGAGTCCGTTGTACTTAAGACACTACAATGATTTCATTCTATTGCATGTCCTGACCCAATTACATTTCTCAGAGTACAGTATTGAATAGAAGTTTGGTAGCTTTAAAATTAACAAGTGTGTGAAATCCGTAAGTAAAATAAGCAGCAGCAATAATTTGGGGGATTTTATCAAGAATAGCTAATTTTAAGTAATAAATACATTCCGAGGTGTGGCTTTTGCTGTTCTCCTAGTTCATTGTTGTCTGACTGGTCAAATTCTCATTCTAGGGTAAGATATCCTTAAGCCTTTCCTGCCAGCCTCACACCAGAAGAGCCTCCCAACTCCACGTCCCGGTGCCTGTCACCTGTCCCGGATGAAACGCAGAGCACTCTGACCAGGAACCTTGTCCTCCTGCCTCCCGGCAGCCTCCAGGTTCTCCTGGGGAGCATGTCAGGGTGTTACAGACTCGGTGACCCTCTAGGAGAACAGCTGTGCTCGTCTTCTGTTACCTTGAAGAAAGGGAGAGAGGGAGAGGTTACTGTGATGGACTGACACACGCTCTGGCTTCCCTCTAAATATAGCCAGGAATTCTCCTGCTTCCAGCTGGCCCAGTAAGCAGAACCATCAGTGGCTGCAGCTTGGGAAGAAGCTTGTCAGGTTAAACAAGCACAAAGTAAGAGCGGGAGTTTTCCTGAAGACCGACATGATACGAACTTCAGTGATGATAATAAATCTTCAGTGTGGCTTAAGGACTCTTAAGTCCCCATTCAGGTGGGTTACTGTAGGTTAATCCACCACGAGTCCCTACGGAGCGCGCCACGTGAGGAACATCTGCCTCCAGTTTCCAAACACAATCTACAAAATAGGATTATTCTCCCCTTGAGAGCAGCCATACAGAAGGTTTCCTAAGTACCTGCAACTGCTCGAGCCATCGACCGCTGCCGTGGTGCCCCAGCAACGTGCTCATGGAGAGCCAGAGCAGCCACGTCACCTCGTTCTGTCCTGGGGGTAAAGACACCTCACTTCTCCACAGCCCCCCTTTCCCCTCTTCCCACAGAATGGAGCACATGGCACCGTGGAGCCCTCGGGCAGCCAGTGTCCCTGTGCTGTCACTGGCCCTGCACCAGGGAACAGCCACTGGGGCCGAGGGCTGGTGACCTGGGAAAGGTGCATGCCCTGGAGAGGGGGATGTGCCTGGCAAAAACTAAGGAAGAGAGAAGTCCTCACCTGTACCCCTGCATGCAGGAGGGACTTGCACTGGCCCTGTAAGCCAGGTTATGATGTGGAAGCATTGGAAAAGCTCAAGGGGAGGATCCATTTGCCTTCAAGATCAAGTGAAGAAACCAGAAGACACGTGAAACAACTCGGTGATACAGAATCACCGAGAGAGAACGGCACAGAGATCTCCACTTCAGCGATGAGCTGCATCACAGCAGCTTGAGCAGCCCAAGAGTCTGACCAGCCCCAACACAAGTCTGTGCCACATCAACCACATCAACTCCAGCCCAGTAGGAACCACAGGAGACACCAGCTCGGATCTGTGTTCCTGAGACACAGCATTAATGCTATGAAGGAACAGATCAAAGACCTTCAAACCCCCCACCAGCTGAGGTTTGTGACTAAAAGAGCACAATGAACCAAGAACACCAAACACAGGAAGAGGATCACGTCCCCAACGCTGCTGACACAGCAGCAGCAGTGCTCCTGTGGGCAGGGGACCCAAAGGGACACTGATTCACCCAGACTCAGCATCCAGAATGATCCTCAGCAGTGCCCACACAATGGAGAATGCAAAGAGCTGATTCAATACACCAGGAACATCTGTCCCAAAAGCTGTATTGCAGAGAAGGGCTGCCATCAGGTTTCATACAGTCCTTCAGTATTTAGCAGAATCACCCCTGAGAAACTGGAGGATCTCACCCCAGGGCTCTACTACCTACAGTCGACAGAGTATAAATCCATACTTAATCATGAAGGAGAATCTATTCATTTGCCTTCTGAGGAACAGAGAAACTTTCAAGAGCACACAACAAACTCACTTGCAGGTTTATCACAGTACACCTACCAAAGCCTTCCATGAGGCCCATTGACCTGGAACAATATCCCTCAAATGGCTTTGAGAGCACTGACCCTTTTGAGACAGATTACAGAGTGAGACGATCTGGTCTAAACAGGAAAAAGTGCATTTCCTGGCTAAGCAAGTCCTCAAGCAGGTTGGATTCTTAGGAATTTCTCACTTGGGGGAAGGAAGCATCACACCTGCCTGCAGGTGGGTGGGTGTCTGTCCCCAGCAGAGCTCCACAGCTAGGCTGGGTGGGGGACAGAGGCCACCCTCCACACAGAGAGAGAGCTCAGGCATCTGTGCAAGCAGAGCAGACCCAGGAGTTTTCAGTGCATCTAAGAGCAGCAGCACAGCGACAGTCCCTTGTATGCTCTCGCTTCGACCCTGAGAGACTTCAAAGATTTCTGTTTAAAAAAACTTTCCAAGATGGAGCAGCAGCTGAAGCCCCACATTCCAGGCATCGCTGTTGCTGCCTCAGTCCACATGTGAGTAATGAACACGATACAGGCTGACTCATGACAGCCTGGGTGCTAAGTTGTGTGTCCAAAGGAGAGCCAAGGCAGCTCTCCTGAAGCCAAGTGCCTGTTCATAATTAAAAAAATGAAGTTTTGGATCAAATAAAGCCATTCACAAATCCAGATTTAAGAGCAGCAGTGGAGTGCAGCAGACAATTTATAGGTTGCTGCACCCCAAGTGTGCCCAAGAAGCATATTTTGAGGAATATTTTCTAATCATAAAGCAGTTAACAGCAGGCTGTAAATGAGCATCATCAAATCAGTCTTCCTCCAACCATCTCCCCTTGGGGAAGGACAGAGTGGTTGCTGCTGGCAGCAGACTGAGAAAGTCCTTTCTTCCCGTGCCTTCCTCCGGTGGGAGGAGGGAGAGGGTGGGTGGGGGTTACTGGATGGCAGCTGGGATACCCATCTCTGGCCCACTGAATGGCATTTTGGAACCATCTCCAACTCTCAAGGCACCAGAAGCCAGCTGACTTGAGCAGGCTGGCAGCTATGTTCTCCAACACTGGAGTTCTCAAACTCCATCATCTGAGTATCCCTACTACAAATCCTGCATCGTGGTTGAGGGTTTCTGCTTTGGGAAAGGGCTGTGCTTTTTGCATGAAAAAATGGCTAAAGTTATTGGCTTGAATCAAAACAGAGCAAGTCATCACTCACAAGGGAAGTCAAACTAGTAATTTGCTACAATTCATTCCTTAAGCTGCAGAGAGCACACAGGAAATGTGCTTTATAAAGAAACCCAGGCTGGCTGATCCTGCACTAACACAGACCTAAAACAGATGAAACAGGAACTAGTATGTCAGTGAAGGCACTCGCTCCTTCAGAAATTCATCAGCTTAATGAGAAGAGCCTTCATTAAAACGTGCCCAGCTCCTCCCTTCCAGAGACACGCACGTCATGACCAGGCGTGACACGGCTGACGTGGGGCAGCGACAGAGGTTGTGGGACCACTGGGGACCCTCTGTAAGGTGAGGTGAGTCACATTCACCTGCATGGGCAGAGGAGCCACTCGTGGACCTTCACCTCACGCTGCATCCGCTGGGATGGGAGCACTTCTGCTGCCCATGGGCACCTCAGGGCAGGCAGGAGACACAGCCACAGCCCTCACACACCAGAGGGACATTGTCACCTGTGTGCGTGGCAGGTCCCATGCTGCTCCTGATCCGGCAGAAAAAGCACCAGGAGAAGCAAGAGCACTCTGCAGCTGACTGAAGAGCTGGAGATTTGAAGATGTGAAGAGCACAAGCCCTCCAGAAATCAAGGTATTAAGGCCCATCTGTGTCCTCACTGCTGGTCACGGGAAGCCTATTTGAGCCGTATGTAATCCCAGGATGCGCAGAGTTCATTATCTGGCTAAGGCAGAGCCCACGTGTTCCATACAGGTACACACACAGTGCAAAACAAATGCAGCAAACAGATTTAAATAAACTAAACCAGGCCCCAGCTCATCCTCATCTAGTCTGCAGGGTACAGGCAAGCTGCTCCTTAAGTCTTTTTACAGTAAGGAGTCAGGGTTTGTCACTCAGTCCACACACTCCTGTTCACCTTGATCCCAGCACCACCAATGGGGACTTATGGATAAAACAGAACACGTCAGGGCTGAAGAACAGCAGTTCATAAGTTTTTCAATGTTTAAGAACATTCACAACAATTTTTGGGATCGAAGTTCTACCTTGGACATCTGAACATGAAAATGAGAAATATTCAAATGTTCAAGGCCAGGTTAGACAGGGCTCAGAACAGCTGGTCTAGCGGAAGGTATCCCTGCCCCTGGCAGGGAGATGGAATGGGACAGTCTTTAAGGTCCCTTCCAACCCAAACCATTCTGTCACCCCATTGTGTTACCATTAGCAATGCACAGCTACTGTGCGAAGATCCAGTTCGTTCCTCACCTGCAGAACACATGAACCCTTCCCTACACAGAGCCACTGCCAAGTTTCCCAAAATCCCCTATTCCTTCTTGGCCCAAAGGAGCCTTTCCATACGTGCACCTTGGAGGTGCTCAGTACTGTACAAACTGGAGAGGCAGGACAAGCTCTGAGCCCTGCCTGGGAGACCAGAGGATTCCCTCGGGGGTGCTTCACCTCTCTGGGGACCAGCGCTGCCCATCCCAGGCTGCCTTTCAGCTGCAGCTCCCACCCTGCTGCTCTCTGTGTTCGCTGGGAAAACGGGAATTGCAGCCACAGTTTCAGACACCTCCACTTGAGGTGAGTAAATAAATGTAATTCAGGAAAACATACAGAAATTCTGGTTTTACATAACTTGAAAAAGTTTTCAAAGAAACCAGTTTCCAAGTTCTTTGTCCAGACATCTCTCCCACCCATTGCCCCAAAACCCCGGCACAGCCCCCGATCCTGCCTGGACCTCACAGGCACTGAGTGCACTGTGGGCTGGTGACACCCACCCAGTCTGCCCACCGTGGGCACGCTTGGCCAGCACGACCAGCAGAGGCTGAGAGCTCCCCAGCTGGGACTCAGAGACCCTTAGCCCCTGGAGCAGCTTGCTGTGCTCCCAAGGGAGTTGCTAAGCCCTTGGTGGATACAATCTCCCCCAGCAGCTGAAGTTACAGCTCCCGTAAGCCGATCGCATTCCTTGGCGTTGGCACAGCATGGGTGCAGTTAGAAATAGCACAATGTATGGCCTGGTGGCATTTCCAGAAAACATGCCTGGGAGCAGAGACTGGAGAGAGAGGGGCCATGGGTGGCAGGATGGGGAGCAGCAGTACAGATCTTGGTGTCTCCAAATGCAGTCTGTGGGTACAATGTGCTTTTGGGAACAGGAAGATCAGCGGGATGTCACCTAACACAGCTCCAGCCATCAGTGCAGGGCACACAAAAATGCAGCACAGTCTATTTTGGACTTGTTCTCCCACCTTGTATTAGTGTGCAGAGACACTGACTCCAAGATGTTTGCAGGAAGACTGAGAAGCAGTAATTAAGTTGGATGCCTGGTGGACTGAAGCATCCAGAAAGCAGGCCAAGAAAAATCTCAAACATTCATCTTCTGCACTGAAATATTTCACGTGACTAGGCAGGTGTGTTAAAAAAACACACAGCAATCACCACCACCACTTTATATCAAGAGATACAACCTTTTTGTGCCACTGGTAGAACAGAAGAGAAGAGGTAAAAGAGGAGTGATTTATGCTGCTTCACAAGTGCTGGCAGCAGCCCTGGCTGCACGGACACGCAGAGCCCTGAATGTCTTTGAAGGTGAAGTCACAACATGACGTGCCAGGTTTTATATTAGTGGTTACTATAGATAGTGAGCGTGCAGCAGCTCTGATTTTGCTGCACACAGTAGCAGTGTGATGGATGGCTCGATGTACTGACACTGAGGGTCTATTAAGCTCATGGCAGTAAAATTAAAACCTTCAGCATTTGCAAGTTTGATGGTTCCACAGCCACAGCTTGGGGGCAGGGGGGAGGGGGAGAGAGAAGAGAGGAAGAATAAAGGAGTTTCCAGACTGAAAAAGCAAAGGAATATACATCCTGTAAACTTATTTCATGCAGAGATGTACATTAAAGCAGTTTTTACAAGAGGTTTTACTGCATGGAAGGGCTGTGGTAGGAACGGGGATCTGTCATGAAGAGCCACAGAGCAGGAGACCCTGTGGCACAGCAGGACCTGCTGAACTTGCCAAGGGACTGTCCCTGCAGGAACACTCTCCTCACACAGGGGCTTGGAGCAACACACGCTCCTGGAAAAGCCCAGCCCCACATGATGTGTTCCTGGAGCAGGGAGAGGGTGGCCTTTGGAAACACGGGTCTCCCTCCCTCCTGCACCCAAGCCTGTGGCAAAGTTGGAGCTATGGCTGCAGCCTCCAACAAAACATTTGTGACACCTACCCAAGGGTCCTTGCTCCCCTGTCACGGCCCTTGGATGGGCTTTCCCTAACAGAAAGGTGAACATCCATCACTCTGGGCCAGTGGCAACTGCTTTCCTTGTGCCTTGTGATGGCTCCCTGATGTCACATACAGGACATGCTGAGCAGACATGTCTCCCCTGGCACTACTCTAAACCAAGAGTGTCTTACAAGTCTGAGTTCTACAGGCTGCTCTCTGCCTCTTGTTTTTCCATAAACTTGTTTTACTTCATTGAAACCCTGTCATTACCTGACTAGTACTCTCTTTGCAAAAAAAGCCTAAGGACAAAGCAGTAACAAGAAGTGATCCTACCAGCTCCTTCAACCCAGACCAAGCTTAAAAAAGAATAAATCCAATTGTTCCAGTTTTAAATGCATCCACAAATGACCTGCATTATTTGTACATTTTTTCCAGTAATTACCCTCTGCAGAACAGATCACGTGCCAGAAGACAAAGTTTCTCAACAGAAAGTGTCACTGGTCACAAACTTCTGCTGTGCCCAGAATTAGCATGAGCAGTGTCCATGCTGAGGGCACCTCCTGGACTCTTGTTCTGATGACAACAAGCCCTTGTGCCGCTGCTGGTGAATCCTAGCACGACAGATTTTATAGTGGTCCCATGCAATATTACCAGGTTGCCCAGAGAAGCTGTGGTTGCTCCATCCCTGGAAGTGTTCAAGGTCAGCTTGGATGGGGCTTGGAGCAACTTGGGATAGTGGAAGGTGTCCCTGTCCATGGCAGGGGGTTGGAACGAGATGAGATTTAAGGTCTCTTTCAAATCAACCCATTCTATGTCATCCTTCAGGAAAGAACAATCAATGAGCACCTGAAAGAAACATTTCAGTTCTACCTTTGGGAAAATCAAGGAAAGCAATAAAATTCTATCCTCCTGACTAGAGAGAATTAGGAACAGGCAATTCTCTGAAATGAGAAGTTTTATAAGTGATGTACCAAAACACCAGACATGCTGGTCTGATGGGGAATCTACGTCATCATGACACATGGAACATGGGAAGTTGCTTGGTTCTGCTTTTCTAGTTTTGAGCAACTGAAGTTCTTTATTCAACTGTCACATTGTCTCCAGCTAGGTAGACTGTGTTGGAAGCTCACCTCAGACATATGTAAGGCAGGAAATCACCTGTGGAAAGCCAGCTGAAGGAGGCCAGCAAAATGGTGATATATGATATATGTATATACTCATATACACATGAGGAAGTTTGGCTGCAGAGCACAGAGGGAAGGAAAGGTCTGGTCTAATCCAGGCCATCCCACCATCTTCTTGTAATTCTCAACATGCTCTTCTTTCCCCCAGTTTACAGACCTGCTCTGTACCTCAGATCCCATCGTGTCTGCAATAACTCTGGCCTCTGGAGCAAGGGCTGCTTCTCCTTCCTGAGGCCCTGCCCTGCAGTCTGTCCCTCTGCATCTCCTGGCCAGGTCCTACCGTAACCACCACATCAGCACTGGTACTACTGGTACCAATAGCCAGCATTTTTCAAAGGCTGACGTGGCTGGGCAAGCATCCTCCCATTGTGACTTCCAGGTCTGGACTTGGAACTCCTTTTGGACACAACACTTTCCTACTCCCTGCGGACCGACTGGCATGGCCAACGTCTGATCTGAAGCATTAGGTGCTTCATCACAGAACTGTTAGGGTTGAAAGGGACCTCTGGACATCATCCAGTCCATCCCCTCACCCTGTCCCTTCTTCTCCAGCCGTGCCAGGCCAGCCCACCCAGAGCACACAAGGACAAGGATAGCTGACAGGAATGGTGACATTCACTACAGTTGTCCCACACTGCTCACACAGGCAGTGAAGACAGCTCAGAGAAGGATGAAGTTTGCTGCTCCTTTAACCAGAGCACTGTCCAGAGAAGCCATGGATTGGCCAGGACTCTTCCACTGGCGAGGACAGTGTATTCTGGGCAGCAGGTTTATTTATACTCCTGATCAAGCTAACAGGAATTTGGGTCCAATCCAAACACTCCTGATATAAGAAAGCCAGAGTTAAGCAGCAGCTGAGGGGGCAGGATGAAGCTTAAATGCTGCTGCTGCAGTTATATGCTTTTACCAGCTCCAGTGTCCAGTTGTCCACACACCCCAAGCACGCAGAATAAATATGCCATGCTCTGATTATTTACTCCAGCCAGGCTTGCTGAGATGGACTCATAACCCAAGCAAAGTTAAGTCATTCATCACACTCGAGCAAGGGGTGAAGTCCCATGACAGAAGGTAAAAAAAAAATCTTGTTTTCCCAACAGGATTACATGAGCACTGACCATCCCAGTCCCACCACACTATGAAGGCTTAAAGAGCAGAGTCTACAGGAGCAGCACTGGCTTAAACACAGAGAGTCCTTCTAGCATGGAACAGAGCAGAGAGTTCAGGGGACAATATAAGAAACCATGCTGCATAAACCACAACCTTTGCCAACAAGGCTCTTCCTAATGATTAGTTCTGGTTTTTCCCCTTGTCTAACATCAACTGGAATGACAGATGGTATTTCTATTCCCAATCACACCCCATCCTGTATTTTTAGGTAGTAAATTTTCATTCTGTGCAGAGCTTTGATTGTTTGATGAGAAAGGGAGACCCATCCTCCTCCAATACAAACAATCCAACTCCCATGCTTCCACTCCCATCTAATGACCTCACACAAAGAGGTTGCAGGTGAAGCCCAAAGGAATTTAATTTGATCCAGGCCATTCCCCAGCAACACACTGACAATTTAGGCACAAGCCAAACATAAGTGCTGTGAGAGATATTGAAGTACTGCTCCCCAGTTAAAGAAAGTTTTTGGCACAATCATTTTGAAGAGTCGTAAAGGGTCATCATAAGAAATCCAAACCAGAAGGGTCAGAGCAGGGGGAGAAAAGGGCCCTCAGGGGCCCTGAACTGTTCCAGGTAACTGCTGGGCACCAGCACCTACATATGATAAACGTCATCTCAATCCCAATAGAAGTTTTAGTTCTTTGAACCAAAAGGTATTCCAAAGAAACTGAAAGCCTAGGTAGGAACTGTAAATCCTCCAGGCAAATGAAGCACCCTCAATACTCCACACATCTCAGTCTCAGCTGTAAACAGTGCTGATACAGAGCTACAGGTTTATCAGCTCTTTGAACAGGCAGCGCTGCTTCTTCATGGGATCAGCTGCCCTGCACTTCCCTCTGGGAACAGGGGCTCCAACTCCCACGGTCCCTCCAAAAGTCTGGAGTTCAAGCTTCTCACCATCTCTGAAATTACCACCACCAACAGCCAGATGTTTAAGTTTCTCAATTGTAAACCTCAGACTTTATGGAGAAACAAATTCAAACAAAACATTTAAAAAGCTTAAGGAAGGGAAGCATTGATGGAAAGCATTAGTCCAGCAAGCACTCACCTGAAACTGGAGGCAAAGTTATGTCTCAAACTGTGTTAAGAGATCTCTTATTTCTGGAGTCAGGTGCTCGACTGCCTTCGCAGCTTCCGTGATCGCTTTCCGGTACATCCCTTTCTTCTTGCGATTAAATCTCAGTTTGAAAAATTCCGAGAAAGGAGACAGTTTTGAAACAGATAAGAACGAAGTCGTTGGAGAACCAAACCATGACACTTTAGCTTCTCGCCACGAGGGTTCCCCGTTTTCCTTCTGGCTGAGGTTTATGTCAAGAACGCGTGCTGGCCACCATGGAAACCCATGAATTTTACCCCAGACAATATCCCCCACTGAAACAGTCCTTCCATCTTCCGTGACACATTTAGACACACTCTGGGTGTGCAGTCTGACTGTCAGTGGCGGCACAATTTTACGCTCATCTTTTGAAGATGAAGAGACGGAGGCATCATCACCAGGCAAAAAGTCACACAGTTCTGGTGATGTCACTTCTGAACTAGAAGACTTGGATTCGTCTAGACTGTCATTGCTACACACTGATAAACTAGAAGAATCTGCTTTTCTTTTGCGATAATTCATGAGGAAAGCCAAGTTATCATGTCCATCTTTAGCCTGGGGAAACCTTTTAAAGTCATCATCTTCACCTGAACTCCCTGAAGATATCTCAGCCAAACCTCTGTCAGTGGATTCATCATTGTAAAATGCTCCGGGATTGGACTCCCTGCTGTTCTGAAGGACATTCATTTCATCAATCAGTTCTGCCTTATAAATTGAAACACTCTGACCATCGTTCATGCGATGGGGCTTCAGCCGTATCTTTGGGGGTGGGACATCCACACTGGAATGCACTGGCCGTGTGAGCTTCAGTTTTGGAATGGAAGCAAGCTGGCTGCCTGCTGACTTGTCCATTAAACATTTGGTTTCTCGACACCGTTCAGAGTCCCTGGTCTCCTCTTGGTCCCCCGCTCCGTTCTGCAATACTCGCTCCGGACAGAACGGTTTGACCGAGCCATGGACCCGGGAAGGGATTTTTACCACTTCACCTTTCCCTTGTGGGGTACTGTAGGATATTTTTATAACTGGTGTTCGATGTACCTCCCCAGAAAACTTGTCATCCTCCCTCTTCTCTCTTTTGTTCCTTTTCTCCACGTAGTCGGAGTCGCTGTGCTTTTTCTGCTCCTTGTCCTGAATGCTCAGCTTCCTCCTGGTTTTGGTGTTCTGCCGCGGCGCCGCGTCCTCGGGGTTCAGGGTGTTCTTGCACTTCTCGCAGAGCACCTGCCTGGGCCGCAGCCTGATGGTGCTCATGATGAGCCTCCCTGGGTCTCTGTTCCTCGACAGGCGCCTCCTCGTTCTCTTTATAGTCCGTGGTGGCGGCTGCGGGACCCACTGGTTGTAGGTGTGGCGCAGCCAGAGGG